GTGGCGGGGATGGGTACAGAAGTGGGATTGACGGCGGTAGCCGGAACGTGGGCTTTGAAATGACCCAGGGGTGGCCGCGGATAGCCAAGGTGCCGCCGGCCGAACCTAACAGCAAAGAGCAGGCCGCGGGCGATGCGACGCGCGAGCGCAGCGCAAACAGCAGTGCGCGGCACCGCAGGCGCCGGGCGGTCGAAGCAAGGCGCCAAACGTGTGCACGCGCGCCCCAGCAGCTCGGGCCATGGCCCGCGCGGCGCGCTGGATTTCTGTGAGAAGGTGAGAGGGCGGATTCGCCCCCGGCGCCGCACCGCTGAGGCCGCCGCTGGTGGAGAGGAAGCCGGGGAGAGTGAGGGGCAGCTCGAAATCGATGTGGGGGTGAGACATGAGGGTGATGGAGACGCTGCCTGCATGGGGTTGGGGGGGCCGGGTGCCGGGAAGGACGCGGGTTGGGGGCCGAAGCGCGGAGTTGGTCATGGGCGTGGTTGGCGGAGGTTGGGTATGTAGGGGGGTCAAGGAGGTGCACTGCGCCGCCGATTGTGCCCCGCAAAGCCAGCGAGGGAAGGGTTTATTTGCCCGGGAGGAGAGGGCGAGGACGGCCCCCCTGCGGCGCTTGTGCGTGAGCCGCATGCGAGCAGCCTGTTCCACGCCACAGCGTCCGATGCCCCCGACAGCGCCTGCGGGCGCACGCTCCCTCTTTGGAGCGAGGCCCCTTTTTGTGCACACGACTGCGCACACGCATGCGCGCATCCGCGCATGCGCGCACACGCACGCACACACGCAAACACACACATGCGCGCACTAAAGCGCCTGCAAAGGGGTACTCCTGCAGCAGCAGCAACGCGCACACACACACACACACACACACAAACACACACACACACACATGCACACGCGCGCGCGCACACACACACACACACGCACGCTCTTGCCTGCAAAGGGGTACTCCTGCAGCAGCGGCCGCGCGGTGATCCTGGTGTGGGCGCTGAACTGCAGCCGCCGCAGGGTGATGGGTATCCTCACGGCCTCCTTGCTGAGCGGAAGGCGCAGGGACACTGCCAGAGTAACCGACAGGTCGCTGCCCCATGAGACGGGGGCCTCCAGGAACAGCTGCTCGATTTTTCAAAAAGTTGGGGTTTGGATGTGCGCGTGTGGTTCAGAGCGAGGAGGACAGTGGTGGGGGACTGAAATATTTTGAGGGGCGGGTGTGTGGTACGTGCTCGCAGGTGGCTGATCTGCAGGCTGATCTGCGCCCCATGGGTGTTTCGCCACAATGGGCCGGGTGCCCGCTGCATGCCTTGGGGAACCCCGGTTGCGCGCACGGCTGGGATGCACGGCTGGGCAAGCGGCGTCGCGCCCACATGGGGGGGGGGGGGAGTAAGCCGCTGTGGTCGCCCTCAAGACCGACGATCATGTGTCGCGCAGGCAGGCCGGGTGGTTCATGTGATTCCATGTGGTGGCAGATGAGGCGGCCCCCACCTGTTCATCGCTGGAGGCATCAAACGTCTTCATCGCCGCCACCCTGCGTTTGGTGAAAGCGGCGGTGAGGTGGGCGCCCGCCCGCCTGCTCGACGGCGGCCATTAGGTAGCGTTCTGGCTGCCACACAGACCGGCCGGCGCGGGCGAGCCGTCGCGCCGGGCGCAGAGAGCTCGCGCCGGCGCGACGAGTGACCCCTGAAGGGGTGGCGCATCAGGAAGGCCCTGGACTAGTCCGCACCTGGGTGCCGTCGGCCCCAGGCTGAGGTCAACCAACTCAAGCCCCTCCAGCCAGCCGCCACCATACTGCTTCGCCTGCGGCGGCGGCAGCGGCGCGGGCGGAGGCGGCGCCAACGTCAAGAAACCCGCTTCGCGGGAGCGGGCTTGGGGAGGCCCCGGGTGGCCGGGGGCGGCGCCACAGAGAGGGAGGCGCAGCGCGCGAGCTGGATGGCCGAGGGGAGGTACTGCCGGGCAGGTGGCGCCGCGTGGCGCGGGACGGGCCACGCGTGCGCCCAGTGTGCGCCCTCTGGCACATCGCAGCCGCCCGCCTGGCCCGGCCGCGAAGGCCAGGCCGCACCGCGTCGCTCAGCGGGGGCGGCACGGAGCGGGCGGCGCAGGGGCGGGCGCGCGCCAGGCACGGGCGACCGGGGGCGCGCGCGGCCGCACCGTATCGCGCAGCAGGGGGGGCAGGGTCTCCTTGGCCATCGCCTCGATGGCAGCGGCCACGTGGGGCCACAGCCCGGTCATCAGGGCGTTGATGTTTTCGACCTGCGGAGGGGGCGGGGGGCGGAGGGGGGCATGGGGTTTGGGGCCCCGCGATGATGGTTGGGCCGCACAGGTTGCGCAAGTGCCCTGCACCACCTCGTGTGCACGATATGGATTAAAAAGCCTATTTGAAATGGGCACTGCTCGGATAGAAACCGAGTCCGAGGCTGTCAGCAGCCCCCCCCGTTGAGATAGTATGTTGGCGGCGCAGGAAATCGGCTGGGCCGGTTCGCAACCAGCCGCCACCTGGTCGGCTGTGTTGCATGGCGATGGTCGCCGCTTGTCTCGCGGCCCCCGGGCTGCGGATCGTCGCGTGCTGCACACTCGTCTCCACGCCCCTCAGCAAACACAGTCCCGCCCGCGGGGCTGCAGCATGACGCCATGGCTGATTACGGGTGTTTACCGCGGCCCCTCAGCAGAGAAAGCACCGCGTGGCCCGGTTGGGAAGCTGCGAGCTGTGCCTCTTGCAATCGTGACGCCCGCCCCATCACCCCGCCCGCCGCTGACGAGGCTTTGAGGCCGCACGCAGGCCGTGGGGCGCCCCACAGTTGAGAGCTCAGGCGGTGTGGCTGGCGAGCGCTCGCAAGGGCGGTGCACAAGGTGCTACGTGCGCTTTCATGGGAGTGGACATGGGACTGGAGACATCACGCCTCACCCCGCACCTGATTGTAATCAGGCCAGGTGGTCCAGGGCGGCGTCAGCCGCAGCAGATCGTGCCCAGTGATCCAAGCGCGCAGCTTGCTGGTCCAGCCGGTGCCAGCGGGCAGCTCCGGCGGCGGCGCGGCGGCGGTCGCGGCGTGCTTGTCGGCGGTGCGCTGGGCCTCTGACGCGCTGCTGACGCCGACGTCGGTGTGCTGGGCGGAGCCAGCTGTGCCCGCGCCCGCGAGAGCGTCCGAATAGCCCGCTTCATCCTGCTGGCGCGGCGCGGGGCGCCCTATCGTGAGATTTGGAGTCTCCATTGATGCGACAAGGCTGTTCCGAAAGCGCTCTCAGCAGCCGCGTATCCGTCGTCTCCAAATTGTATTTACTTCTACCACAAGAAAATATGCAATGTGTGACAGTTGCCTGACGCAACGGCGATCTGCACTTGTCGGTGTGCTGACTGCGATTTGCCACGCGATTGCTGCGCAAGAACAAATGCAAGCTCGTGAACGTGGAAATTTTTTCACGATAGAGAGCGCACCTACAGACCGAGCACCACCCACATGCCTGGCTCACAGCCCCCATGTGGCAGCAGCTGCCGCTGCTGGGCCCCACCCCCCCTTGTTTGACTAGGTGCCAACCCTGCGCGCCCATTGCTGCACAGAGCGCCTTTGGTTTGCGCACAACGTTTTGGGGCTGAGCACCTGGATCACTAGTGGTATACCCCACAACACCGAACCTGACGAGACAAGGACTGTGAAGTGTGTCGTGCTGCATGTAGTCACCATGCCAAGCAAACGCAGGTGTGGCGACATTTGATGAAATCCATGTTTGCAGTTTGGAGTCTTGGGCGCTCCAGACCGAGCAACATGATTGCTGCATGTCAGTGCAAAATCATCAGACTTCCTTGTGTTGGGGTGAATAGCCCAGCGCTTCTACGGCAGACATCATTCAGGGCCATGTCACTGCAACACCCCTGGAAGTGGGCGCAAAGCCGTCACGCCCGCCCAGCCCCTGCGTGTAGGTGGGCGATCGGCTCGTCCGGCTTGAAACCAAAGCCTGCTGCGCCTTCCTGCGCCCAGCAAGCAAGAGCCGCCGTTGCCATGAGGACTTGAAGCAGCTGCACTGTTGATATGCAGTTTGTCGGCGGCCGACTGCATTACCGTAACGGCATGGGCTTGGGAACTGCGAAAGCACAGTCGTTTGACAGTCTTGGGTCAGCACTTCACATAGCGCCAGGTCACACAATCGGGGTGCCCCGCCGACGCGCCAAACTGGGTGCTATTCAGACTGAAGGAGAGCGAACCTGTTGAGTTGATCGTATTTCAACGCTCGCGTTGCCGCGCTGCCAGCCAGCTGATCGCTTCCGAGCTTCGGAAAGGAGGCTGCAGCAGCGAACCTGTGCGGGACGGCAGACTAGGTGTTCATAAGTAGATCAAAGAGCAGCTGTGCGCAGCCAGGAACCAACTCAAGCTGGGACACGCGCCAAAGCACGGAACTGCTTGCGCTGCTGCACACAACTACAGCGTGCAGCTTCGTCGCCCCGACGCCCTTCCGGGGGCACATGCGACCACAGCAGCCGCAGTCTGCGTGTAGCAAACACTAAGCTGATTCTGGTAGAGGCACTGCAGAGGCCCTCAGCAGGGCACGCGGCCGTCGCAGCAGCGCTCCCCACGTGAGCAGACGCACAGCAGCATGGCGCTCCAGGACGCCTACACTTGGCTGAGGGACTACATCACAGGTTGGCCGGCCGCGCCCGCTGCATGTTGCTGCCTTCATGGGGCCGCCCCTTTCAGAAGCCAGCGGCGTGCGCGCCACGCCTCCTTTGGGGCACCCATGCACCTGCATGCTGACCCCTCTGCTGCGCCCACCACGTCCCCACCCCGCCCACCCGAACGCCCCTCCTTCGCGCATCCAGCCATCAAGTCCGGCCACTTGCACCCCTTCACCCACGTCGAGCGTCTCGCGCGCGAGGCGACGCGGCGCGACCCCTGGGGCCCTACTGGGCTGCAGCTCGCTGAGCTGGCAGACGCGACGCACCGCCCCGACCACTGCCGCGTCGTGCTGGCGGTGCTGTGC